AGCCCTGGAATCAACTTTTTCTCCAAGGAACCTTGGTTCCTTTTGTGAAGAAGGGGATTTAGAAGCCAAGATCTAAGTATTTAGGTGCTGTGGGTATGTCATTGCTTTTAGCCTCTCAGCGGATAGTGATGAGCTTGTATCTCCACACATGCCTGTCTTCCTTATATCCTCCCCTTGTCTCTGTGGCATTGAATAGCTATCCAGCTAGGTGTTGAAAACTGTGAGTTAATACTGACACACCCAACTGCAGTCTAACAGTCTCTCTGGCTCACTTCCCTACCAGGGAGGGATCTGGCTCCACTCCCTCAGTGTATTTATATATAAGCTCAAGACCAGCATGCACAGAAAGTAGTTTTATGGTTGCTAAACAATACCACTGTAAGAAAAACAAATGGACTCAGTTTAATGATTTACGTCGTTTTTTAAAGATAAAATTTACAGAGTGTAAAATACAAATGAAGTATACAATTGCATAAGTATTACACCCATGTAATCACACTCCAGACCCTGAAAGCCTTTGTCCATTCAATATCCTTTCCCCCTGCCATCTGATATCCTTTGAATGAGTAGCAGCCACTTTTCTGATTCATTTACTGTTGCTCAATCTAGATCTTCCTATCAAGGGAATCACAAGAGATATGGGATTTTGATTCAGTTCCTTTTGCTTAACACAATATATGTGAGTTTCATTAACACCAGACCTGTCCCATAAGAAATGTTAAAAAGAGTTCTTTAATTGGAAATAAAATAATGCTAATTAGCAAATAATAACAAATCATCTGAAGGTACAAAACCCACTGAAGGTACAAAACTTATCTAAACACTAATAATAACAAATTATCTGAAGGTACAAAACTCACTGGTAATAGTATATAGAAAAACACAGAATATTGTAACACAGTAATTATGGAACATAAATTACTAATATCTTAAGTAGAAAGACTAAGAGATGAACCAATAAAAAATAACTATGACAACTTTTCAGGATATAGTACAATAAAATATACATAGAAACAACAAAAAGTTAAACAGCAAGGGGACATTTTCATTAATGTTCTTTTTGCTTTGTTTGTTTATTCATACAATCAATGTTAAGTTGTCATCAGTTATAAGATATGAATTGCTAGCCTCATGGTGACCTCAAATCAATAAATATATAACAGATACCCAAAAAATAAAAAGCAAGAGACTAAATCATCCCACCAGGGAAAATCACCTTCACTAAAAGAAAAACCAGAAGGAATGAAAGAAGGAAGACAAGACCACAAAACAGTGAGAAAATGAAAAACAAAATAGTAAGAGTATGTCCTAACTTATTAATAGTAACATTTAATGTAAATAAATTCACCAATCAAAATATGTAGAGTGGGTGAGTGGTTAAAAAAGCAAGAGCCAACCATCTATTGCCTACAAGAAACACACTTTATCTATGAAGACACACGTAGACTGAAAGGGATGGAGAAATATATTTCATGCCAATGGAAGCCATAAAAAGGCAGATGCAGCTATACTTACATTGGATAAAATAGATTTGAAGACAAAAACTATAAAAAGAGACAAAGGTCATTATAAAATGATAAAGGGGTTAATTCGGCAAGAGAATATAACAATTGTAAGTATATATACCCAACACTGAGCACTCAGATACATAAGCACAAATATTATTAGAACTAAAGAGAGAGATAGACCACAATACAATAAAAGCTGGAGACTTCAACACTCCACTTTCAGCATTGGACAGATCATGTAGACAGAAAATGAACAAAGAAACACTGGACTTAATCTGCACTAAAGACAAGATGGATCTAATAGATATTTATGAAATGTTTCATCCAATGGTTGCAGAACACATTCTTCTTCTCAGCCCATGGAGCATTCTCAAGGATAGACCATATGTTAGGCTACAGATCAAGTCTTAAAACATTCACTAAAACTGAGCTAATGTAAAGCATCTTCCCTGACCACAATGAAATAAAATGAGAAAAAAATAAAGACAGGATTTTTGGAAACTATACAAACATATGAAAATTAAACAACATGCTCCTGAATGACCAGTGGGTCAATGGAGAAATTAAGAAGAAAATTGAAAAAATTTTTGAGACAAATAATAATTGAAACACAACATACCAAAACCTATGGGATACAGTGAAATCAGTTCTAAGAGAGACGTTTATAGCTATAAGCAACCACATCAAAAAGAAAGAGAAACTTCAAAACCTAACTATACATCTTAAAGAACTAGACAAGCAAGAACAAACCAAACCCAATGTTAGTAGAAGAAAAGGAATAATAAACATCAGAGTATAAATAAATAAAATTGACATAATAATACAAAAGATCAACAAAATGAAAGTTGGTTTTCTGAAAAGATAAACAAAATTGACAAACCTGTCACCAAACTAGGAAAAAAAGAGAAAAGACCCAAATAAATAAAATCAATGATGAAAAATGAGTCATTACAACCAATACCACAGAAATTCAAAGGACAATTAATGGCCATTATGAGCAACTATATGCCAATAAATTGGAAAATTCAAAAAAGTAGATAAATTTCTAGACACACACAACCTACCAAGAGTGAGCCACGAAGAAATCCAAAACCTGAAAAGATCAATAACAAGTAATGAAATCAAAGCCATAATAAAAAGTCTCTCAGCAAGCAATAGCCTGGGACCTGATGCCTTCATCGCTGAATTCTATCAATCATTTAAAGAAGATCTAATATCAATCCTACTCAAACTATTGAAAAGTAGAGGAGGAGAGAATATTTCCAAACTCATTTCATGAGGCCAGTATTACTCTGATACCAAAACCAAAGAAAGACACATCAAAAAGAAAACTATGGACCCATATTTCTGATGAATATCGATGTAAAAATTCTCAACAAAATACTAGTAAACAAAATTCAACAATACATTAAAAAGATCATTTATCATGGCCAAGTGGGATTTATCCCGGGGATGCAAGGATGGTTCAACTACACAAATCAATCAATGTGATACTTCATATCAACAGAATGGAGGATAAAACCATATAATCATTTCAATTGACACTGAAAAAGCATTTGATAAAATTCAATATCCCTTCATAACAACAACAACAACAAAAAAAAACCCTCGGCCGGGTGCAGTGGCTCAAGCCTGTAATCCCAGCACTTTGGGAGGCCAAGGCAGGTGGATCAAGATGTCAAGAGATCGAGACCATCCTGGTCAACAAGGTGAAACCCCGTCTCTACTAAAAATACAAAAAATTAGCTGGGCATGGTGGCGCGTGCCTGTCATCCCAGCTACTCAGGAGGCTGAGGCAGGAGAATTGCCTGAACCCAGGAGGCGGAGGTGGCGGTGAGCCGAGATCGCGTCATTGCACTCCAGCCTGGGTGACAAGAGCGAAACTCCGCCTCAAAAAAAAAAAAAAAAAAAAAAAAAAAAGTCCTCAAACGTGAGTATAGAAAGAACATACCTGAACATAATAAAAGCCATATATGACTGGTCCACATAATGAATGGGGATAACCTGAAAACCTTTCCTTTAAGATCTGGAACATGACAAAAATGTCCATTTTCAACACTGTTATTCAACGTAGTACTGGAAGTCCTAGCTGGAGGAATTAGACAAGAGAGGAAAATAAAGGGCATCCAAATCTACAAACAATTATCCTTGTTTGTAGATGATACAACCTTATATTTGGAAAAGTTTAAAGACTCTATAAAACAACGATTGGAACTGATAAATAAATTCAGTACATTTGCAGGATACAGAATCAACATACAAAAACAAGTAATATTTCTATATGCCAGCAGTGAACAATCTGAAAAAGAAATAAAAAATCCCATTTACAATAGCCATGAATAGAATTAAATACCCAGGAATTAACCAAAGAAGTGAAAGATCTCTATAATGAAAACTATAAAACACACTGTTGGAAGATATTGAATAAGACATCAAAACATGGAAAGATATTCCATGTTGGAATATGATTAAGTTGATGGATTGGAAAATTAACATTGTTAAAGTAACACTGCTACCCAAAGCAATCTACAAATCTGATATAATCTCTATCAAAATACCAATGACATTCTTCACAGAAGCAGAAAACACAATTATAAAGTTTATCTGGAACTACAAAAGATGCAGAATAGTCAAAGCTATCCTAGGTGAAAAGAAAAAAACTGAAAGAATCACAATACCTAGCTTGAAATTGTACTACAGAGCTATAGTAACTAAAACAACTTGGTACTGGCATAAAAACAAACACATGGAACAATGGAACAAAATAGACAGATAGAACAATGGAACGCAGAAACAAATCCATGCACTTACAGTGAATTTATTTCTGACAAAGGTTCTAAGAACATACAATGTGTAACCTGTCTTCAATAAATGATGCTGGGAAAACTGGATATCCATATGCAGAAGAATGAAACTAGACCCCTATCTCTCACCATATATAGAAATCAAATCATAATGGATTAAAGACTTTAGTATAAGACCTCAAACCACGAAACTACTAAAAGAAAACATTTGGGGAACTCTCCAGGACATTGGAGTGGGTAAAGATTTCTTGAGTAATACCACACAAGCACAGGCAACCGAAGCAAAAATGGATAAATGGGATCACATGAAGTTAAAAAGCTTCTGCACAGCAAAGAAAACAATAAACAAAATGAAGAGACAACCCACAGAATGAGAGAAAATATTTGCAAATGACTCTTTTGAGGAAGGGTTAATAACCAGAATATGGAGCTCAAGCAACTCTATAGGAAAAAAATATAATAATCTGACTTAAAAATAATTTAATTGTATATTAAAGAAACTAAAAGTATAATTGGATTGTTTGTAACATACAGGATAAAAGCTTGAGTTGATGGATACCCCATTGACTCTGATGTGATTATTACATAATGCATGCCTGTATCAAACACTCTTATGTACTCCATAAATACATACACCTACTATGTACTCACAAAAATTAAAAACTAAAAATTAAAAATATAGCTATTACAACTTATTTTTATAAAGTACATAATAGATAATGTGGCTAAATTGAGACAGGTTATGCTTCCACCACTGTGTGCATATTGCAGTGGTGACAATGAGACCTGTAACATTTTGCTATGCTTATGAGTAAAATATGTAGGAGAAAAGTGTTACACATTTAAATAAGGAATATTCAGCTTTTATCTCATAAGACCACTGTTTGTAGGTTATGTATTGACTGAAACATTGTAATATGGTACATGACTGTGTCTTAGATCATGTGTCAAAATATAATTTAAAAAATATATATAATAGATATATTTCACCCTTTTATATTCAACCTATATATGTTTTATATTTATATTTATATTTACGGGAATCTAGTAGCTAGCACATCATTGAGGTTTACACTTTTTACCCGGTTGCAGAATCCCTGTCTTTTACTTGGATGAAAATTAACCTATACTCAACATAATTATCAATATAGTCTATTTGTGGTTTACAATTTTGTTTTCATTTATTTTTTGTTTGTTGGATTGTTCCTTTATTCTTCCTTTCCTCTCTTATTTTTGGTTATTCAAATATTCTTTTAGCCTTCTAATATTATTCTTTAATTGTCTTTTGACTTTGGTACTTTACATCATGTGTTAGTGATTTGCAGGGATTACACTTCACCTTTAATAATGCTCTGCTTAGGGTTAATATTATACTATTTCATACAATTAGTAAGAAATCTATAACAGCATAGTTCCCTCATCTTTGTGCTATTGTTGTTGTATGTGTATTACAATTGTGTATGTTATTATGTTTACAATACTAATTTAAATAGTGATACATCTTAAAAATTAAGAAAATTATAACTTTTGATAGCAACCTATGTAACTACCATTTTTTTTTGTATTCTTTTTTCCTTCTTATAGATCTATCTGTTGTCATTTGCCTTCAGACTGCAAAAATTTACTTGTTATGTAGATATACAAAACAAGAAATAAATGCTTTTGTTGTATGTTCATTTTTAAATAATAGTTTTACTTGATAAAGAATTCTGGGTTTACAGTTTCTTTCGACATTTTAGTGATGTTAATTCCACTACCTCCATTGCGTCTGGTGAGAGGATAAATATCATTGATGTTGTTGTTTTCTTGTATGTAATGTGTCTTTTTCTTCAGCTATTTTCAAGATTTTCTTTTTTCTTTGAAAATTTTTTTTTTTTTTACTGGGCATTCAGTGAGAGTCTTGAATCTGTAAGTTTATGTTCTTCACTGAATCTGAAAAATCCAATCTTGTTTGTTGATTTTTTTCTTTGCCCTTCAGGAACTCCAATTATGTGTGTGAATCTGTAACTTGGATATTCTTCTTTAGGTCTGCGAGATGCTCTCCTTTTACTTATTTATTTTTTTTACCCTCTCTGTTCTTCAGGTTGTATCATTGTGTACATTCATTTTCAATTTTACTGATTCTTGTGCTACTTCACTATATTCACTCTTTCCTTTCTAGTTAATGGAGTTCTCAGTTCTATAATTTTCGTTTGGTATTTGTTTTAATAGTTTCTCTTACTCTGCTGTGTTTGTCATTTTTTTCATTGATTAGGACTATATTTTCCTTCAAAATTTTCAACATATTTGTAATATCTGATTTAAGTCATTTTCTGCTAATTTTTAACATACAGGACATCTTGGAGTCAGTTTTGATTGCTTTTTCTCTTGACTATGGTCACCTTTTTTATTTTTGCATGTCCACTTATTTTTGATAGAGAACTGAACAGTCTGGCTATTACACTGCAGACTTTGGATTTTCTTATATTTTTTTGAAGAACATTCTAGCAGTCAATTACCCTGGCTGAACTCAAACTCCAAGCCCTGTTTCTCTGTCACCACTAAAATCTCTTCCTTTTACTCATCTTTTCTGCTGATCCTCCTGAAGTTTCGCCTGTGTATATGTAAGTCAGAAATCAGCTAAAATTTTGGTCAGACTTTGTATTTGGAAGTAGAAATTCTCATTTGCATGTCATCCTTTCTGTGATTTCCAGCACTCTGATGGTTCCAAATTTTGTATTCTGACTTCTTAAGGCAGTAATCCCTGGCTTTCTGCTTGAGTCTCAATAGTTTTATTCCACCCAGGTGAGCATGTGCTCTCAGCAAAAAGCCACATAATCCTGCATTTCACCCTGTGCAGACCCCTCTTTAAAAGATTAACTCCCCTCTGGTTTTGTGCCTTCTTTTGATTAATCTCTAATTAGATGGTTTTTGTATTTTTCTGGAGTTTATATTTTTTTATCTGTTGGAATTTAGTCTAAGACAAGCTATTCTTTTCTTAACAGAAGAGGAATTCATGATCTCATCTTGATTTGAGGTTTGATTGAGCATATTTTCATAAATTCTGTGTCATTTGATTTCTCTCCTGTGGAAAGAAAGCTTTTTTTCTATCCATTGCCTTTTTGCTTGGCTTTTTCTCATTGATTTGAATAAACTCCTTGTATCTTGTGGCTATTAATTCTCTGTCTGTTTTAACTAATTTACATATTTTCTCACTCTATTTTATTTTCATGAGTGACCTCTTTCCTTAATAAAATTATAGAAATGAAGAAAATCTATACAGCCAGTTTGGAAACAAAAAGAAACAGATGTAAAATGAAACCTGATAGCAACTTAGCTTCAGGTTGCCTGTTTTTTTTCTGGCCTTAAACATTCAGTTTGAGAAATTACGGAAAATAATAGAAACCCACAGACTTTCTCTAGGAAAGGCTGAAGTGACTAAGTGGAAGGAGAAATCTCATATATCAATGATAGTGGTAACATTTGGGAGTTCAAATACAGTAATTCACACTATTGTCAATGTGTGGTCCTATTTGGGGCATAGCTAATTGGTGCATTTTCCTTCGATCAAAGAGTATAGTCCACCCAAGTCCAGGGTTAGGCTGAGGGAAGAATTATGAGCTGTGAGACCTTGGGCAGGTTGTCAGCCTATTTTTCTTTTTGTAAAGTGAGATCAATACGTACTAATTTGTAGGATTATGGTGAGAATTAAAGATGACATGTAAAACACCTAGAAGAGTATTCAAATTGGTATCATTTGCTACGTGTGAACCCTAGAAAGTGAATTAACTTTTCTTCTATATCTTAATCCCAGAGAGAACAGAGATTTTTCTGGAAATAATGTCTCATAAGTTCAGTTATTTATATATCTGGTTCTGTTACTTGGATATGTATATAAACACTGTAGAAAGAAGAAATCCATCCTTTGTTAATAAAACACCAATTTCCTAAATGTCCTCTCTCAGAGTCAAGAAAGTCGCGTTCCCTGTACCTACTTCAAAGGATTCTTTATCATGGACCATGGGCATGAACATTCCTTGTGAAAGACAACTGTGTAGGTAGTTTTGAGCATAACCTGAGATAGTCTCTTTAGTGTGTGAACTGGTTAGGATGACCACAAAGCTTTCCCTTAATGACAAAAGAGCTTGAGAAATGCAACAAACAAAAATTATTAATTAAAAAAAAGGTGAAACCAGCAAATGATGTGCAAATTGAGTTTTAGAAAGATTGGGAATGTTCCATCAAAGAAAAGCAGAGACTATCCCTCTCCAAGGAGCTTTGTGAAATACAAAACCTCTTCGTGAGACACTGTTTGGAAAGAGGGATAGGAAATACTCAGCCTGTAGCCTGACCAGTTCCATGAGCATTTAACTCACTCCATTTACTGTGGCTTTATACTGAAGCCCCCCCCAAGAAGCAGTAGGTCCCCCTACCCCTGAGCTCCAGGCCAGCTGCTCTTTGTCTCTGCAGCCCCTTCACTTCCTCTGCCTCCATACACCCACCGGATCCACCCCAAGATGCTGTGCTGACCTCTGCTTCTGAGAATCAGTCCTGCCTCCCTTTGTGCTTCTGCAGGGAGGGGTGTGGAGGGTGGCATGCTGGTCAACACCTCCACAAAAGCAGCAAGTTTGAGATGAAATCTGCGTTCCCTCCTGGCTGGGGGCAAATGTAGCCATGGGAACGGCAGTAAAACACAGTGCTCTGTGCTTGCAGCCCATGGCTGAGTCTCCCGCCTCCTTCCCCAGCTGTCTTGGGAGTCTGGCTGGGTGCACTGGGGTGGCCTCTGCTTTTCGCCCTGAAGTGACTGCTCTTTTTCTCCTCTACTCTCTGGATCCCTGATGGGATTTCTTTATCAGAGACAGCCATTGATTATTGCTTAAGTCACAGATGCACATTGCTCGCTCTCATGAGGTTTAGGTTTAGCTCAGGAGAAAGGGATCTTTGAGAAACGCAGCAGTGTACTTACAATCTTATGGGGTTTACCTTGACTTACTTCCTTTCTTTACATTGTGAGGCTTCTCTCAATTTTTTCATCGCCAGATTTCTTCCCTTTACCTTTGGGCCTTAAGTTGTTGTGAGCAGAAATTTGACGAGGCAGGAAGATGTGGTGGCATTTACTTTCTTTTTAAAAACATGTGCTTTCCCAGAAATAATATAAACAACACCACACACTTGCCATACATATTTAGCAGAGTGAAGCACTTTCAGTCTTTAAAGAGTCATCACTTCGTTCGGAGTGCTGTCTCTGACCTGTCTCTGTCACGTTACCTGTTTGGCCTGGGGCAGGTAACTTAGTGTCCTCGTATGTGACAGGTCGGGCCTGCATTAGCTCTTTCAGATTCGCAGAGAGGGCAGCAGGGAGAACTTTCTTCCTCTGAGCACGTTTTCCTAAAGTGATACTGTTTAGAATGTATACATTTGTTAATTAGCGTATAATTAACGATTTTAAAGTCCACCCTCTGGTGTCGTTCAATACATTCACACTGTTGTATAAGCACCACTGCTATTCAGTCCCCAAACCTTTTAATCTCCCCAAAAAGTATAGCTTGTACCCGGTCAGCAGTCTTTCTCTCTTCCCTCCTATCCACTAGTCCTAATACCATTAGCCTGCCTTTTGTCCCCATGGGTTTACCTATTGTGGAAAATATCACATACACAGTATGTGGTCTTTTGTGTCTGACTTACTTCCCTTGGCATAATGCTTTCAGTGTTCATTCACATTGTACCACATGTCGGTACTCCATTCCTTTTTATGGCTGAATAATACTCTGTTGTATGGCTATACCACAGCTTGTTTACCCTTCCATCCATCAATGTG